TGAGGGCGCGAACGTGCCGCGGATCTCGACCGGCGCGTCGGAGAGCTTGAACTCGTGCAGCTTGCGCCGTCCCAGCTCGGTGAGAAAGCTGACGTCGATCGCGCCAGAGAGCGGGAGGAAGCGGAGGGTGTCCGCCCTGTCCGCCATCGGCTCAGACAAAAGAATTTTACACGACCCGACGGGGCACATCCCTCCCTTGGGTTGTGTGTTTTCTTTCTTACCAGAAGATGAGTGGAATTGATGAATTGGGCCGTTGTCCGTGCCTCCCCTCTATACGTCAGAGTGGGACCTACGCCGCGCCGGGTAAGGGGCGCGCCCGGTCCTCGACGGAGCCGCGCGCCCCAAACGACCCAGGCGGCGAGTAGTCGTCGTTGAACCTCCGGCATGTAGTTGCCCATAGTTAGCGCCCGCCCGCCCCCCCCTCCGTCGCCGCGCAAAAAAAACAAATTAAAAAACGAAGCCAAAAACGATCGCGTAAACGGCGTCACAAAGCCCGCCGGTTCTTGGAGCACTTGGAGTGCAGTCGGTAACCTCACATCCAGGGCCGAGGAGCTAAGAAGCGCACCCAGCGGGCCGGATGATCGGTGTCGGGTTGCGGGCAAGAAAGCCCCCTAGCCCCGGGGGTGCGCGTTCGCAGGGAAAGGGCCTTAAAGTAAACACGGGTCTCCGAGGGTTGGCTCCGCGCTCTGGGTTTCCCCTAGCAGCAGACCGCCCCCTCTACTCGGAGCTATAATGAACACCAGACATGAACACGACACGTACTCTCACACGACGTCACCGCTCAGGGCCCCTTCGCAAGGTCCTCATCCTCACTCCGGAGGAGGCTCCCCTCTCCTCTGAGTTCTTCCTCGTGTTCGCCTTCCGATGATCATCCGACGGGCGCGGGGCCCGACCCCCCTCCTAGCCTTTTTCAGCCGCGGCCCCGCCATAAATAAATAAATAAATAAAACGGCCCCGCCACCACCTCGTCTTCTCCGGTTTTGATTTCCTTTTGGCTCCCGTGGTGTACCTGTGTTAGTGCCAGTGCGCGCCAGCAGCAGCAGCAGCAGCAGCAGAGAGAGGCGCCAATTTAGAGCTCGTCCCGGTCAAGTCACGGCCACCCTTGGGCGTCCGCCTCTTCCTATCTCTCTTCGCAGTCTCTCGCCGATTCTCGCTGCAACCTTCATGCCACCTCGCGGTCATCCCACTCTCGTCGTTCTTTCCCTTGTCGCTTCTTCTTCTGTCGCGTCGCTCTCCTCTGCCTCGTTCTGCGACGCCGCCGCCGCCTGCCGGTCCCTTGTTCTCGCTGCTTCACTATCTAGATAGAGTTGGATTAGTTTGGCGCGGCCTAGTTTGCTTTGCCAAAGCGCTTCGCCGCTCCGCCCCGCTCGACTCTAGTCTTCAAGATACCTTCTCGGCTGAAGCCCACTTTCCTACCATCCATGTCTTGCCTCTGGCCCAGCCTGAAGGGCGTGCTACGGACTGGAGCGTGGTGCAATGACAGTCTTCCACTGGCCCTTCCGGCAGCGTCCGCGGACTCAGCTGGCGGCATGTGGGACCCGCCCGGGGTGCACCTCTATGCGAACGCCTCCGCCTCGCGCAACGGCGTCCTTCACTTCGGCAATGGTACATGCATGATTCATGGCGCCTGCTCCTGTCCGGGGAAGGTGCGGGTGCAGGGGCTGTGCGGATGCCAGGCCGCACCGCCGAGGGACGCGATGAGAGTGCCCGTCGCGGTGACGCTCGCTGGGAGGTGGACGGGCGCAACATATCACGCAGTCGAGGCCCTGTCCTCGTTGGCCTCGGTTCCGGCGGCGGTGCTGGAGTCTAACCGCACCTTCATTCATCTTAACGGGCTGACGAGCGCTCCCAGGCATCCAAGTGCCTTTGTCCTCCAGTGGCTGGCTCTGCTTGGCGCCCCCGACTCGTCGCCGGGGGTGGCGTCTGATGACGTGCCACCGAACTTGATCTCTCCATTGTAGGAATCCCCCGCCACCGGGCTGTGGCGGGCTCGATCGCTGCCGAACAAGAGCTGTGGGTGCCGTTCGGGCCCCGGTGCGGCAGCATGACTCCGTCGGGCATGGCGTGGCTGCGTCGTTCCGTCAGTTCCGAAGTTGGCTCCCTGAGGGACACCCTCGTGGTGGTGTGGAGGCGCGTCTCCCGCACGGTGGCCGACTTCAACTCTTCGGTGCTGACGCCGGCCGCGGAGCACGCGGCGGCGCGGCGGCTGCGGCTATATGTGCACGACGACGACGCCTTGCCCTCCGTGCGAGAGCAGGTGCGGCAGTTTGGGAGGGCGGCGATCATCCTGCTATCCCACGGGGCGGCGTCGCTGTTTCTGCCCATCGCCACCGCGCCCGCGTGCGTCATCGAGATCCACCCAACTCTCCCTGTCAATATGCACGCGGCCCAGCAGGCCGCCACTCTGGGCCACTGGTACCAGGGCTTGCACGCCCCCGCGGCTAGGCCGAGCCAGCAAGAGGTCCGTGGGGCGCTCGAGCGGTGCCAGCAACTGTCCAAGGTAAGGTAAGGTAAAGTTGTCCACACACACACACACACGAGACGTTGTTGGTAAAAGGAAGGTAAGGTGAGTGAATTGGCTCGAATGCTGGCACACGTAATCCCCGCGCCTTTGCACAACTCATCCACGCGCGGCCAACGACGTCCCCACGCGGATGAGTTGTACTGGTACAGCGGCTGCACAATGCGAGTACTCCAGAGATGGCAAACTATCGTGCGGACTCGAGCGTGCGGGCGGAGAGGTCAAGGATGTCGTCGAGGCCAGACTCGCGAAGGAAGTCAAGACTCTGTCGAAATTAGTTTCTCTTCGTAAGCTAAAAGCAAGTGGCGTTTATTTTTGCTTGGCCGGCCCTCATGCCGGGGTAGGTAGGGTAGGTCTGGGCCCTCCCGTCGGGGTTTCCCCTCTCTTCAAGCTGGAATTTTCACAGCAGAAAAAGAAATTTTCCGCGGAAATCACGATGTCAACCCTCCCCAAATGGGTGATCTGATGCTTGTAGGGCTTACATACATACATACATACAGGGCTTGAGAGTGGCCTCCCATGTCACAAGAAGGACTGTGGATGCAGGAGAGTACCACCAACCATCACTCTAGTTGGTATAGTACCCCACCTTCACCCATCGCATGATTTCTTTTTTAGTTTCCCATAAGTAGGGTAGGTAGGTAGGTAGGTAGGTAGGG